CACTACAAAAACGTGGTTTTTAAAATATTATTTTTGATTTTGATTTTTTTTTGTACTCACTTCCAAAATCCCAATTTTTTCACTCACTGTACACAAAACTTTTCAACTGACATGTGACACTAATTTGAAATAATCGTATCGACAACAAAAGACAATCACGAAAATGCTAATTTTTCCTTAATTTTAATTTTATTTTACTTTGTATGTCTTCTTTCTCTTCATTTTCATGCATTGTCATCCAATTCTGAACTATGTGCCAAATTTGAAGTCTGTAGCTAGTCCGGAAGCTAGTTTAAAATCGATTACAAAATTCCACCCGAACAGACATACACGAAGGTAAATTAATATAAACGTGGTAATAGAAAGGCTCGAATGCTCATAGTTGTATAATAAAGATGATTATATTCTCAATAGAAGATTTACGCAAATGTATCAATTGTATTAAATAATTATTAGAAATTTTTTAAATATTTAATTTTCATCTGCTTCGTTTTTCTTAAGCCTAGTTTGAGTTTATATTAATATTCTCTTTGTGCTGTGTGTATGTTTTATGATCAAACTGACTTTATTTTAAAAATATTGTATCGATGCACATTCCAAAATAATAATTTTTACGCTACATTATATCGTTACATTATAAACTTACTTAACTTTACTTATTATGTGTATCCTTTCACACTGTAACTAAAAATTTTAGTTTTACTAAATATCAAAAATGGAACTTATGGAACGAATTTTTAACTTTGATATACGAGGAATAGCCATAGTAAAACTTTAAAAAAAATGCAGTCTCAATTTAAAATATTTAAGTAAGAGAGTGATGGTCCAAAGCTTGAAATCCTTAATGTTTATTTTACTTTTTGCATATTTTGCAATACCTTTGTTATTCATTAAGAAAATATAAACCGTTTCGCACACAATAATTATGAAACGCGTTTATTCCAAAAGAATTCTAGAATTCTAGAGGGGAAAACACTTTTTTTTAATTATACAGTAATTAATTTATGTAATTTTATATCACTTGAAATGATAAATATGTAACTTCAAACGACAAAATCCAACACTTGAATGGAGTCGGTCAATTAGTTCATGAGAAATGAAAATTTATAATTACGATATTTTTGAAATTTTATTTCTAAAAACTTGTAATAACTAAGAAAAAAACTTGATTTCCTTTTGAATAATTTCAATTGCGTAGTTTAAACTGTTTAAACAAATGTCATGCTGAAGCAATATAATTCATCTATATTATTTGAACGTGAATCAAGTGCACTGAAAAATTGGAATGATAATTTTCTTGGCGATAGAACGACCAGAGTTCTTTAAAAAATAAAAATGAATAAAATAAAGTTAACCAAATAAAGTAAAGTAAATTAAAAACATTTTTTTAAAAAAAAAAGGAAATAATGAAAAAATTAAATCAGATTCAATTAAGAAATATAAAGAATACTCTATGGAGATTACTATTTTCAATTAGTTTTAGAACTAAAAAAGTTTGATCGAGTTGGTTTTAGCACTAAATCCAACAATAGATTTAGTTATTTTCAGTTAGAATATAAATACGTAAGGAAAATATCGATTTATATTTCAGTTACATAATGAACTTAGATTAAGAAAAGTTTGCACAAAATATCAAAAAAGATTTTTACTTACGTCAGGTCCTATTTTTAAAGTTTCAAAATATTCCACAGCATTCAAATCCCCTACAATTAAAATAAGTTATTACCAATATAAAATTCGTAAAACTTAATTTATTCAGTTTATTATTCAATTAAAAAATAGTATTTTACTTTTAAGGCTATTAAAAGTATTTTTTAAAAATTAGATATCCTGACAAATCTAGTTATTCATTAGGAAATTAAAAAAAAACTGAAATAACTTTAGTTCCCTAATTTTTCCTTGTTATAATAAAAAAATTAAAAATCAGGATTATATAAGCCTATATCACATACATTTCGCATAAACTTTATTCATCTATGTGAATTTAACAAATATGCAGAATACAAGCTTTACGGTAAAAAGTTTTAAAACAAGTTTCAAATAGTCTTAATATACATTAATATACATATTGTCTATGAAATTAGCTAAAAAACTATTAAAAATTCTTTTCTAGATAATTACTAATCAAGTTTTAAGCGGCAGCAAAGCCGAAGTCGCAATTTTTAAAAGTATAATAAAGTAAAATATAATTCAAAAAAAAATCGTGAATCAGCCTGAAAAACTTCAAGAATTCTTATCTAGAAATCTTTTCTTTAATTTTAAAAATAAATTTAAAAATTAAGGATACAAGGCAAAATGTTAAAAAAAAATTTTAATTCTAAATTTATGTGAATTCTCAAGAGAAAAATATTCTTACCATATTTAAGTGCTGAAAAATGAATTAGTTCATATTGAATTACTTTAACACTTTTTATGAACATAGCGAAAAATTAATTTTGAATTGGACTTAAAATGACATGAAATCAGCTGAAAAATCATTAAGATTCTATCTAGAAAATGTTTCTTTTATTTAAAAAATAAATTTCAAAATCAAGGCAGCAAGGCAAAATATTTGAAAAACTTTTAAATTTTATATTAATGCGAGATCTTAAGAGAAAAGTATTCTTATAATTTTATTTATATGCTGAAAAATAAATTTATTCATGAGGGATTGCTTAAACACTTATTATTAACATTGCCGAAACTACTAACCCTAAGCAAAATATTAAAACAAAAATTTAGATTTTACTCATAAAATCAATAAATCATAAATACTATAACACATAAAACGATAATAAAAAAATAACTCCTCTAAGTATTTTTTATGCCAATAAAAATAATCAATTTATTGAAGAGAAAAATTTCTCAGGAAGTTTTTTTTTAATAATAGTAATTAAGTTTTTGAAATATTGAAACATAAATGAATGAAAATAAGCTCAATGTGTAAAAAATAAATATTATCAAATGAAACATTAAAGATGAGAAAGAAAATTAATAAATTTCAATTAATTTAATTATATTATTATATTATTAGTGCTATTTAAACAGACACCAATTATTTTCCTGACTGAGAAATATTTTGAAATTATTATTCGAACAAAAGTACAGATCAAAGTAAATAAAATAATTAATCCTCGATGTAAATACTATCAAAAAAATCAATACTATTTTGAAGATAAATAAACATAAACACTGGTAAAAATTGTATCAAAATTTCAAAAACAATAAATCCAATTTAATAACGATTTTATTGCCCCAAATCATATATTCTTTTTCATGAATGGAATCCGTTTTTTAATACGCATTCACAGTGAAGAACCTAATTTGTTTTTCTTCAAATATTTGATAAATCACGCGAACAGAACTGGAGATAACTTATTATTACTTGAGATCACTTTTACTAAGGATTTTTTATTCTTTCATAAAGCACTTTCTTTTGTTGAAGGAAACTTGTAGAAGTATTTTTTCTAAAACCATGGGTAATAAAAATAAGTCTATCACGCACAGGACCCTCATCACTTTTTAAAGTCAGTCAAACAATCATATACACCGGCTATAAATCAGCGGGCTGGTTTTCGCTAATTGTTGATCTTTCTATACATAACATAATGCATCTAGATCAGTGTTCCTTAACCTTTTTGATATAATGGACCCCTTTTAAAAATTTTTTTAAGAAGTCACGGTCCACCCCCCTGTGATAAAAATAATTGCAAAAAACGTCAATTATTAGAAAACATTTAATTTTATTATTTTAATAGTATACAAATTTTTAAAATTAAAATTTTTAATGTGAAGGTTGCTGCTAATGTGAAGATAATGTGAAGGTAATGTGAAGATAAAAATAATTGCAAAAAACGTCAATTATTAGAAAACATTTAATTTTATTATTTTAATAGTATACAAATTTTTAAAATTAAAATTTTTAATGTGAAGGTTGCTGCTGCTTTTCCTTACTTAACAAATTGAATTGGGGATGGTTCAACATTCAATCGATTTCGATGTTATGTTTTTATTGTCACAAATGTGGAAAATCCTGCTTCGCAAAGATACACTGTAGCAAACGGAATTATAGCTGCCATAACTCGCTTTACAAGCAATGGATAGGCTTCCAAACGTTTTAAAAAATATTAAATTTAAAGGATTAATTTTAAAGGAGTAATCAGCGAACCACTAAAATATAACTCATGGACCCCTTAGGGGTTCATGAACCACAGGTTAAGAAACCCTGATCTAGATTGACCTCGATCATTCCCTTTTTCTTTGACGATTTTTTTCAAAGCAAAACAAAAACTCCATTCTTCAACATAGTAGCAGTGTTAGGTCATCATCAAGGCAGATTTTGACTCGTGTTGGCGAGAGAAAGGGAATCAGCAAAGGAAGAAGCCCCCCTCTTCGAAATGCACTATTTCTTGAGGGGAGTTCTTTCTTTAGACGAACTATAGGACTAACCTTGTCTCTAGGAAACTCTACAGAAGCAGGACAAAAATATGCTTTCCAGAATTTATTGTTCTGAAGTCACAGAGGAGCATCCTTAAATGGTAGTTACTGGATTATTAATAGAACTCTTGTTGTATGATACTATTGACCAAACTTAAAAATAATTTTATGGACATTGCGCAAGGATCGAAAGTACACATTGAGATTTAACAATACATTTTTACCATGCGAAAATAAATTCCTTAATGCTTTTTCTTTTTTGAAAACCTTTCATCTAGAAAAATTCAAAAGTTGAAGTTTCAGTACCTTAAACTTGATGTAAATCTTTAATTTCCCACTGAATCTATCTTATCAATACGAATTATTTGGATTCTGAAGCAGATAAATATTTCACATAAATCAAAAATCGAATATTGAAATTTTGTTAAACAATTACCGAATTTGTGAGGCTATCCAGTAGTAGGAAAATCAATAAAATCTTGGAATAATTCTTGTTTTCTGCATTGCACAAACAATGCAGTGCTGGAATAGTTATTTTAAATTTTGAAAAATAAGCAACAAACACTCTTCAATTTTTGAAAACTGTGTTTTTCTTTATATTGACATTTTGTCCCATTTTCCTAATCAGTATGACGCTGGTTTGAGATGGATAAAGTTAACTGAACATTCAAGATTTGAACTCACAACAGCTTTAAAAGTATCATATTGGTTATTAAATAGCGTTACTTCGAATATTGAGAAGAAAAAAAGCATTTGATGAATTATTAATATTTATTGATGATGTGACTCGAAGGTATTACGAAATAACATAATGAATAATTCAAGGGAATTGCTTATATTTTCAAGAAATTATTAGAATTAAGATTCGGACTGAAATTTTTGCTTACCAGGGAAATGTTTCTTTAAGGCACTAATTCCATAATCATCAATAAGAAATCCCATTCCACAAGCTAGCACAATGTATACATTTTTTTCTCGAGCAGCTTGAAAGTATTGCGTTTGCGTTTCTTCTAAATACTATCGGAATAAAAAGTATTAATTAATTTCGACTTATTAATATTTTCAATTGCATTTTATATATGGGTCATTCTCACAAAAACAGTCATTTTCATGTCCCCAGTATATTTTATGTTTGTTTTACAGCTTACAAAGAAAAAAAAATCATGGAAAGTGTCCTTCAGAATGCAAGCTAACAAAAGAATAAAAATAAAATTATCAATTTTTATTTTTTATTAATTTTAGGTAATAAAAATATACCAATATGTCATTCCCTCACTTGTCCCCACTGCTGATTTAAAAAAAGAAAAAAATTGTTTCTGAAATAAAAAA